AGCAGGATTCAACGCAGACCCCTCTCCTGGAGCCTCCACGTCTTTGTTACAAAGTCTGCAAGAGAAAGGAAGGATGCTGCTGCTCCCCCAAGCCATGGCAGACGTGGGATGTTCCTCTTTGCGTTACAGGCAAACCAGAGAGAATCGTGCCTATAACTTGCTGGGCTGGGACAGGAGAGGGCCAGTGCGGATCCCAAGCCCTGACATACTGTATAAAAGGAGGCTGGGCATGCTCTGGAAGCACTGACACTTCAGGCCTTGCTCGTGGAAAAGTAACGCAGAGGTTTGCCCCTATGAGATGTGTGTTTAGACCTTTAAATCTGTACAGTTAGAGCAACCAATTCAAAATCAGTTGAATTGCAGACATTAAGCCAGATTTGTTTTGCCAGCAAACACATCCAAACAGCCCTTTGACTTCAGGAGGATATGCATCAATGCAAAATATATTCCATTGACTGCAAACTGCAGCTTTAAAAAAAGAGTTATTTTTGTCCCCCATTTCTGTTTGCTCTTCACTCTGGGAGGGCACTTCGTTTCTCAACTGACTTAGTATAACTTCTTTGGACTAAACACACAGCCTTTGGTCAGCCGCACAGGCTGGGATTTCAGCATTTTTGTGTGGGTTTGTTCTTCATTTTGCAGAAAAAGCAAATGAGATTAGACAGAGAGTGGGCTAGGGAATGAAAAACGCGCTTACCTTGGTATACATTAAGGCACTAGACCTGTGGCTTTTTTAGAGCAACCCAGAATGTACAGCTTTATTTCTTTACTTGAATTGTGTTGAAACCCTCTGGCAAAGAGGTAATTTTTTATTGACATTTTGTTTGTTTTCTCTTGCAGCAAACAAGACAGTGCTGCATTTGCTCACTGTGAAGCTAATCGACTCCTTGTCAACTGGATCTGAACTAAATTTCGAAGCAAATCCCTGTCTTTGGGGTTTTTCTCAGAATGACGATCCCAGGGCATGTCTACGCATCTGCAGCCACGCACTCGCCTGCTGCTATTACTGCGTTTATCAAGAACACGTCATGTTACCGTCGGTTAATTTACAGAAATCACAGTGGTTCTGACACAAGTTGCCGCCCACTTTATAATCCGCATAGATGCAATTAGAATTGATTGAGCCAGTGCAAACAACCAACGGCAAAACAAAGGTTTCCCGGTATATATTTAATTAAGACGATCTATAAATATGGATTAGGTTAAAAGGCCTTTGAGATGCACGTGTGCATCGCAGCGTGCCTGCTGACGCTGTCACGCCTGTGAAGGAGGCGGCTGCAGCCAGGGGACACGGGGACCACGAGCTGCGTTTCAGGCTCCGGGTCCCGCTGCGGAGCCGCAGAGATCAGCAGCCCCGTGCCCGGGACGTGCCATCAAGGTACCGACCGAACATGAAGGGTCTCTCTCAAGGCCAAGAAGGAGGATGCTCTTCTTCACTGCCCTCCTTGTTTGAGGGAAGAAGGGGTTTATTTATTCGTTTACATATTTATTCTCAATCCAGCTTGAGGTTTGGGGCTTTTTCTGCCCCAGAAGCGAAGGTGCCCACTGGCTCGCAGTAACCTATTTAGCTTTAGTGAAACAGGTACGATATATTAAACGCATGACAACTCATTATCGTCACTCCAGCTGGGAGAGCGCTGTGGAAACTTTGCCATGAATATAAACTCAAATTCAAAAATGAAATTGCTTTGGCTTTTTCTCTGCCCCTCTCAGTGCCCCTGGGAGACGTGTGTGATCACGCTCGGCGTGACTGCTTCACGCGGACTCCGTAGAGCACGGAAGGGCGGGAGAGTGGGATGACGGGGATGCAGAGCCAACCTCTACTGAATCTGCTGTTTTCTTAGGAATTGAAATCTGCTAGGTAGCTTGGGTTATAGTCTGTGAACTGCTGGCTAAATGCTCTGAATTATACCTGTTGTTTGGCTCTGCCTCTGCAGTCCCTACGCAGGGGACCTGGGCGTTTGGTCTCGAGCCTCCGAACTGCCCTTCAATTGAGGCTGCCTGAAGCAGACAGCAAGAACCCCCCATTCCTGCCGATCATCGCTGCTAGTGACCTTCTACTGATCTCCTCCCTGCTTTGTCTCCTCCACATGTTACATTCCCTCTCCGACTTGGCACAGTTTAATCCTGGGGTGTCCTGCTGGTCCCTGGCAGCCCTCCCGGGTCCTTACAGTAAGCACGGAGTACTTGGCAATAACACACTCGGCCACACGGTGAGAAACTCAGGATCGCCATTTAGAAGAAGAATAAACCAGAATCTGGCTGTGCAGGATGTGGGGAGGAAGGACACCCTGGTGGAGCAAGTGAACCTGATTTCTCCAAATGATTTATCTCACAAATTCACTTAATTTTCCTTTTCTTTTCCTTTTTTCCTTTCTCCAACCAGGCAAACACTTGAAGGCACTCTCGAGCCAGAGGATCTGCTGAAGGCAGAGCTCATCAGTGACACAGCTCACACTAGAGAAAATACACACAGATTTGGATGACTGGACAGGGAAGAGGAGCAAGAAAGAATAACATCAGATTCTAGACTTTCCACTGAAATAGCTTTGGGAGCCTCATTTACAGCGGAAACACCCTCAACCTCCCAGCGTACTCAGTAATTCCATTTAAGAACTGACCTCTAACTCCTACAGACCCAGGTTTTGAAAAGGTCAATGAGTCTTTGTTTTTAAAACAATTTACATTCTGTCAGTTATGCGCATCTGGACACAATATCAAAGAAAACACCTGCTCTTGGTTTCCCCTTGTGGTTTTTCTTGCATGCACGGACTCTAGGCCAAAATTGATAAATAAATGGGAACAGAAAAGGAGTAAACTAGCCGCGTAGGCTGTTTTTATAAACTGCTAAACACAACGTCTTTGCTGGTAGCTGTCCCATGACTATTTTTTTATTTCGAATTGTAATCATGAACTTTGAGAGTCATGATACAGGAATGAACACGCTTCACTTTGATTATTCACAAAAGGAGCAAGTAGCTCCCTTCACGGTGCTGAGGAACCAAAAACAACTTTCCCTCCTTGTGCCTGTGCGGCAGGGATGTGCAGATTTAGGATGATTTAGGAAATACAGTGATTGTTGTCAAGTTCATGCTCTCTTACAGCTACTAAGATTTTAGTGGCTGCTGTGCTGCTGCCGGATTTGTGCAAACGCTTTCTAGAACGACACAGACAGATTACCCCAAGCCCACAGTCAGGTTTTTATGTATGTAACCACGTGGACTCCGGCTCCTGCATCCGGAGTACGAGAGACGGAGGGGGCCAAATCATTATCGCGCAAATGACGTGCAAAGTGGTACGAAATGTATCAGTCATTCAGAAAGCTTCTGGAGTAGCAAATTACTTTCCAGGGTAATCTTTCTGGCAAGAGCAATAGCTTTTTTTCCCCCTCTTTTTTTTTTGGGGGGGGGGGGGGCGGGGAGAGGGATTGAGGGTGGAAGTGAGGGAGAATGGTTGGAAGAGCAAAATTTTAAAGAAATCTTTAATAAAACATATTTCCCTCTTCTGCTGACAACTCCCGGCTAAGTTTGATGCATGTTTTATTTTCAGTGTTAAGACAAGACAAAAATACTACCCCTTCATTTTGGAAGACTTTTAGCAGCTTTTGCATTGTTTACAACAGTAACATAAATTGTTCTTTTAGAAGTTCTAATTCTTCTGTCATATTCTCACAATGCCTTTATTTGGCAGGGAAAAATATATTTAAATAATAAAGTGGTGACAAACTGACAAAAGCTGGAAATCAAAGCTAAATGACAATTGCCTGCACAGAGCACAATGGTGTCACTGAGATAGAAAGCTTTAAAAACCCCAAACACCAGGAATTTGCATTGTAAATATAATTCTAGCTACAGTGGAGTGTCACTATCTGCCCCTGTAATTAATTTTCTTCTTTGCCTTCATGCCTCAAACATCTGGAGATTATACATCACATCATCAGTAGCAAATCCCTCTGGAGGCTTTTTTCCTAGATAATATTGTTCCCAAGCTTTATATTTCATTCCTGTAATAGATCCTAGTTACCATATGAATGAACAGGGCTCCTCAACAAAAAATACGAGCCAGATCTTCTCCCGGTGTATCAATGGGCAATACGGAGTAAGTCCGTAATTTCAGTGGAATTATTCCGGATTCAGAGTTCGGACCAAGGGGAGTTTTGCCTTTACACCATGAAGCGCAGGCTCACGGCTGAAGCCTGCGACACGCTTAACTGTCCACAGGGCGCTCACGTTCCAGGGAAAAGCAGCAAGGTTGCTAGCTACATGCCACATTTCCCATCCCATTTCTGCCTTAACTGTTAAATTAGCAAAGAACATGGAATTCATTAATTTCCAGGAGGCGAGTCAGTAACAGCTGCGTTCAGAAGTAGGTTGCCTCAAACTTTACAAATGTATTCCTTCCACACATGGTGTTTCTTCACAATTTATCATTGCCTATTAGCTAATAACAGCACCAGGTTGTTGCTGGTTTGGTTTCTGCTTAAGAAACGATGCCACCAAATGTTAGAAGAAGAAATCAGTACGTTCGCACTTCTGCTGAGAGATGTGTGGAATCAAGCTCCTGTTGAGCAAGATAAGGGCTGCATTAGCTCCCAGCGGTTGGCGGTGGTGTTTGCATTACAGAAGCAGCACGGTATGCTGGAAGGTAAATGCCTGACTCAGTTTATTTGCTGCCTTGTCAGGAAGAAGAACTTCTGAAAACTTAACAGGATCATTCATGTATCTAGCATCTTTAAGATGTCTAAAGTTATGAATATTAATACTGGGCAGATGGAAGCACTTGAGCACGTTAAGAAGAATGGTAAAGATATTCACAGCAACAAACTCGGTTTGATCTTAGTGAGTAAGAAAACAGGTGTGGCTACAAAACGCTCCATCTTCGCCCAGCCCAGCGTCCGCGGCACCGGCTGAAGACCCGAGCACGCGAGCAATGCCTGCGCCAGTGCCAACAGCAGACACTGCAGCCCGGGCACGACCTCTGGGTTTGGATGGCTCAGGGCTGCTGCGGCAGGGAAGAAATCGGCCGCTTTCTAAAAAAAATGTCAGTGTGAGTCTGACAGCGTACTTACCGGGATCAGCGTATCCGCAGATCTCTCTGTAACACAGCTGCTTGGCAGGTCCTGAGCAGGTTTTGGCAGGTATCAGGCAAGAGTGAATGCCTGGACCTGACAATACGCCAGGTGAGCTCTGGCCTAGGGTAATTTTGTCTAATTCGGCATTTTGTGTATTAATGCTCGTATCGTTAAACACACAGGCTTTGTCAAGTTCAAACATCTGTAACTCTTTATGAGCAAATGTGAATGAAAAGAGGCAGAGAAAGGTCCATTTTTCTTTCTATTTCTAAATGATGGCTTTTACAAGAGCTGTTAGATTACTGAGAGTCTGAAGTTTCTCCGGATTCCAAACTGTGCATATTTTAAAGATATAAATAGCCTTTTGTTCAAAGTGGCTGTGTTTTACGGACTGGATACAGACACTTCTGCTTGTCTTAGTGCAACAATTTCTTCTGATTTAGTATCTATAAAATTCCTTTCTTTTCTCCTTTTCCAATACAGTGCTACTTAATTTTTAACAGCAGCATTTACAGTGAATACAGACAAAATAACTGCATTATTCCTGTACCAAATAATAAGACTTACCTTGTTTGATAGGCTGCCGATTAGAGAAGGTGAGAGGAGTAACAAGGAATTTGGTTTCAGCTACCTGTACCCAGTGGTGCAGAATTTTTATTGTCCAGACACCGGGTCGCAGGGGCAAATTCAAAGGTGGTTTGTAGTGAGTAAATTCGGCACTGGATTCGATCAGAATATCATACGTTGCTGCAATTACATTAACAGGATCCACCCAAATGACAGTAACGGTGACGTTGGGGCCTTTTCCCCATTTCTGCATGCCCACTGGCTCGTCTGTCGGGCCGAGGAGTCCTCCAAAATTCCGGAAAAGCCTTTCCTTGGCGTCCCATTCGGTCCCAATCTGAAATTGAAGACCACATTGCTGCTACCATCATCTCCATAAGTATCTAAGACCCTTAAGTCAAATAAGGGCTCTCGAGACACACAAATCATATTTCATGACATGAATTATGCATACATATAAAGGCTGATGGTAACACAACCTAAGATCATCATGTGTACACAAATTGTGAGACAACCTTGAATGCTAGGCTTGGTTTTTTGGTCCAGTTGTCTACTTAGAAGGGTTTTCTTTACATTAAGAGTGACATAACAGGCTATAGCAGCTCTCCTTTTCCTCCACATGGAAGCAGCCAATAAAGCCTGAACACAGACTACGCATAGAAAAAAATATGACCCATCATCTCCTGGGTCATGAAAACGTACGATGCGTTTGAGAGACGGGCCCTGCGGTAGGGACCTCCCGAGTTGCTGCTAAGGGCAGGGCAGAGCCTTTGGCTGACGTCAGGACAAGTCACGCCAGGTCTGTTCTGCAACCTGTCCGTGAGGTGCCGTCTCCTCGCACTCCTGCCTGACGTGGGCAGCTACTTCTGGTAAACTCTTTTCTAACCGGCATAACAGTGAGATTGGTTTTTATTTATTCACTAACTAACAGGAAAGCAGCTGAATCACAATCTAGTGTAAATATTTAATAGACCTTTCTTTTTCCTAGCAGCTTTCGTATTGCACTGCTCTTTATATGAATTTTAATGGTTCACCCATAACCCACGGGATGATACACACTTACAAGCTGTTGCCATTAACACTTGTACACTACTGAAAATAAGCATCTCTAAACAGACAGCATGAAAATGTAGTAACTGGCGTTCTCAGGCCAACTGAAAGACATCTTACTACCCCAGCACTAAATCCAGCATGCGTTTATGAGGCTGAGCATTAACGAACCACTTCCATCAATTCTTAAGAAGACAACCTGGTGGACCACAGCTGCTTTTGGAGGAAGTGCCCACCTTGCTTGTCCCATGAGATCCTGTTCCCGTGATCTCAAATAAAAGTGATCAATATCAAACACAAAAAGATGTGAGGGACCCCATTTGAAGAGAAGAACAGGAGAACGCCTTGGTTCCTTTCGGCAAGCAGACATCTGGTGTCAGTTCTTGGAGAGACATACAGATGTTTTGGCCAGCCCAGTACTGAAACCCCTCATAGTCCTTCAGGTCTTTTTGGGCCATAATCTCCAAACAAACAGTGTAGATGACCCAAGGGTTGATTTGTTCCCTATACAGAAGCCGTGGGATTCTTTCAAGCGGTCTCTGGAGGACCGTGCCCACACAGACAGGATCCCCTCTGTTGGCATACGCGGATATTGAAGATTTCCCCAACACAGAACTGTCCTTGTCCCTAATCTTCACCTCACAAGGGCACGGTCAGAACCTGCTTTCCTGAAAGCATAACAAATAATTTTAGCTCGTTTGCTTCAGAGGTATTTTTTCTAGATTTAATCTCATTTGATGAGAATAAGTGGTTCCAATATAATGCCCAAATCCCCCCAAATCCATAAAACGTACCAATTACCTGATGCCTACTACCACTGATACCTGTGCTGGAACCTGTCCAGTCCCCAATCCCTCCTAAATAAATCACTGTGGCTGGCGGACAAATTACAGGAGGACCGAAAGCAAAAAGCTACAAGACCAGTGGAATAAAAACCTAAATCCATCTGTCATCATCCAAATTCCTCCTACCGGACTATGACACTGCAAAATATGAGACAAAATGAGCCTTCCACTACTCTGCAATCAACACAGTGGAATCGCTGGTGTTTCAGAGCTATCTCACCTAGCACACCAGCTAATCAAACCAGACAGCGTAGCCCAGATATCAGACCCAAGCATCGACTGCCTCGAGGAGCTGTCAGCGCATACTCTCCTGACAAGACTGACTGAATATGTATGGAAATAAGCTAAGAAAGAAAATTTCCTGACCAGATCTTATTATCTACTCTGCCAGCCTTCGCTGAGTGTGGCCATGTCACACCTACCAGAGCTCAAGAGACCTGGAAACAATAAAGCCACAGCATCTGAAACAAATCTGCACCCTCTTGGGCAAAGAAAACCCTGCAAGGAAACTCTTTCCACCACATTCAATATTTCTTACTAAGAACTGCTCAAAGCAAGTTTACGTCATCCTCAAATAATTAACATTCATCCCTGACATACAACTATTTTGCCCTCTTTAGTCCCTCGTCCCTGGGAAGAGAAATGAGAAAGTCACAATCCCCGTGCTCCAACCTCCAGGTGACATTGCTCAACAACCAGGGTGCACAAAGGATGCTGAGATGTGCTCCTATGCGCAAAGGTTTCATAGAGTAGAATAGAAGAGTGAAGATTGCTTTTGGGGAAAAACTGTAACAAAATCGTTGACTGGTCGTTAAGCTTTGTGCAGGCACGTTATTGGGTTCTCTGATGTAAAGCCATAGTTACAGCCAAAGGGCAGGAGAAGCGGGGGGAGGAAGGGACAATTCTCGTGCTGGCGGCAGTCGCTCCCCAGGAGAGCCTGTCACAACTCCACGGTCAGGGTGTGCAGGTCCCTGGAAACAACAGCACAAAACCAAGGAGGAAACACTGCCACAGAGCAGGCCCTCAGCACCACAACGGCGAGGCCCCCACGCACCCCGAGGACAAGGTGTGACCCCAGCTGCGCAGGGAGCTGCACGCATCTCTTTACGGGATCTGCCCCGATGTCCGTTTCCCAGCCGCGGGACAGACCTTCCCATGCCGCGCAGCTTACAGTACCAGCTGGTTTGAGAAGCACGGTATTTTAAAGGGAATGTTACCTAAAGCACTAGTCAGAGGTTTATACCTCTTCCCTTGAACTCTACCAGCTGAGTTCCAGTACTGAGTTGTCCGATTCAAAGGCCAAGCGATACTACAGTCCTATAATATTTTTCATAGCCCCTTAAAACACTGTAAGTAGGCTTTCACTTTCAAATGGCATACACAAAGTATGGGATGGAATCAAGCAGTAATGAATATCTGATAAATTATGAAGGGATGTGGCACAAAAACTGACATTTTCCACATCATTATTTTAATCACCATGATTTTGAGCTTCAAGAGCTGGCACTGTGCGCGGGGTACGTTTGGGAAGCTGGAACTCTCTCATTGGCTTAAAACTCCTGTTTCTATCTCTGTTCAGTCCTGAGATAAAATTTTCCCAAGATAAATTATGCCTTGATTATGGGTTTGTGTCTCATTGCTCACCACAAACAGGACCATTAGGTTCACACAATGCACACTAATTGCCTGCCACCTAGTTTATTTTATTCTCTGTGATGAATCACAAGTCTTAACAAGACCAGAAATGAACTTAGTGTTCAACTGATATACGCTGAGCTGAGACTTCTAGTACTGTGCGGCAAATCAGTCCTCAGCCCTCCACGTAAAAGTTGTCGCGCACCCGGGCTGGTGGGATACACACAGCCTGTCTGAGGAGGCGTGGGAGTTGGGAAATCGTCTCTCTTGGATTTCCTGAGTTTATTTTACTTCACACAGCCCAAGACTGAGCACAGAAGCCGTGTGCCGTCGCAACGCTATCATTAACCCCGTTAGGCAGCCCAGCCGGCTGAGGTTTTCCCATTTGTCTTTACACGGCGTACGGTGAATGTGCTGCTCGGGACGCAAAGCCTGAGAAGCCCCGGGAAGGAGCAGAGGGCAGGAAGGGCTGACTGGGGAGATCCCCTCGTCTGCCCTCCAATTTTGGTTGTGCATCAGAGTCACAAATACACCGGGAGCACGTTCAATGCGGCGTATCTGTGCTCTTCCCGTCGGTCCCGTTGGGCTGAGCTGGGAGAGGGAGGAAAGCTCTCAGCTAAAAACGGCCCATTCAGTTTAAATTTCACCAGATCAGTTGTTGAAAAAACAGCAGTTACATGTCCCAGTAAGCACAGATCTTAAGTTTCTTTTCTGGTGCTTAACCTGCGAACATTGATGCCCTCGCCTTAGCTGAACTGCTGAGTTTGTTTTACACTTGCTGGACTTTGACAAAGAAGTGCCATTTTAATAAGCAGCAGCAGATCCGAGGCTTTCCAGCTGAAGCTGAAGAGGTTAATGCTGGATTTACACCAGGGTATCTGAGAGAATAATTTGGCTCAGAGGCAGAGATGCCTGCAGGCCAAGGGAAGGCAGAAAGTAAAATAAACAATTAAGAAATGATTAAATGATTTAGTTTGTACCTCCTGGTCTTTTAAAATATGAATCATCTATGAAAGGAGAGGACAATTAAAGAGTTTAGGTGAGAAAAATTAATGAAAACAAGCAAGCAGCCACTCTTTTTGCGTCTTTCCAATAGAAGAAAACATTTCCTTAGCCTGTAAAAAAGCTCACCAGCGATTAAACCCTTCCCATGCTTTGCACTCGCACGGCCTCACTGCAGCAGCAGTTCCTGCAGGGCTGCTTACGGACCAGCCGCGGTCTATGAGGCCGTGAAGGGCGGCTCATTAGTCCCGTGGGATCCGGGGATCCTCCCCGCCGAGCGACACGCTCCGCAGAGCTGCGGGCACAGCGCAGCACCGCGTGCCACCGCTTCCCACGGCAGGGGAGGCCGACGCTGGGCACTGCTGCTCCGGGACGTCTCTCCATCAGGCTCGCGGTTGCTGCAGGGCTCGTTTTGGGGAAAAAAGGGTTTGGATCCAATGCACTGGGGCCAGGGGGCACCCGGCAAGGGGCCAGGGAGTAAATTCTGGTCCCAGGTTTGTTTCCTCCCTACAGCTGAGGTGAAGTCAGATGCATTCTTTCTACAGATTTTCATTTGAGTTCTAGAACGCTAAGATCAATGTACTTATTTTCACCACGCAATTAGAAAAAACACTTCCTGCTGCCAGCCTGGTTGCTTTCAGAAGATGGACCCAGAGCAGGCATCAGGCTGAAAGTGAGATTAAAAGTACCAAATAAACAGCAGAAATACTCCTACAAATCACAAGAATTAAAGCTTGTATCACCATTTATCACTGCACGCAATGGCAAGCCTACCATCGGACACATTGATAAATGGAGCACACTTTCCATCCATCTCTTTAATGGCACATTAGTGTCGTGGATTTGCCATGCACACCAAAACACTGAATCCTACCTAGGCATTTCTTAATTGCCCAAGAAGATGGTAATTTATGGACTTGGCCATAATGACTGGAACACATTTGTTCAATCAATTTCATACCTTAATTGAAATTTGTGGCTTAACAAGAAAAATCATGAAATTAACTGCTCAGACAGTTGCATCTTTAAAACAGAACACAGATGTCAGGTTCTGTTAGCGGTCAAATTTCCTAATATATTTTAGAGTACGTTTTTTACACTCTGTGTCAGATCCTGAGACAAATTCCTAGAAGAAATAACAGGATTTGTGGGAAATATCAGCCACCGCTGTGATAATTTTCTCTTTTGTGCTACAGCATCAATATTCTGCTCACATGTGGCATCGGTGCCTGACTATCACTAATTTTATGAGGGTTTTTTCCAGCATACTCTTGAGAGGAACGCTTACCACATCTCTGCTCACATCTGGAGCTGTAGAAACATGGCATTTTTCCCAGGTATCTCTCACAGCACTCACAACAATCAGAATCACAAAACTTTTAAGTTACTGAGCCCCTTTTACACCAGTCAATGCCGTCAGTTCTTAAAGCAGGAGGGAGCGAGGACGCTCAGTGTAACGTAAGAAGTGAGGGCTCACCACAGATCTGAACTGGAAGGGCTATCTCCTTCGATGAAGAGGATGTGCATTATGCTAGAGAGCCACTCTCACCTAAAAATTACATGGAAATACAGTTTCCAAAGGCTGCTGCATTAGTACGCGATCTCTCCAGAGGCTCGTGACATTCTTCACGGGTGGCTGTGAACACTTACCTCTGAGAACTGCAACCTTCCAAAATCGCTTGGTGGACTCGCGATCTTAAAGACTTTCTTTGGCATCACCCACGTTTCCAAAGTTTCTAGTTTACTGACAGCCAGGTTGGTCGCGTGGTGTCTGATTAGGAAGCCTTGGAAGCGGTCAGCAAGGAAGTAAAGGTGGACGGAAATTGGATGGCCCATGGGGTAGTATCTGCAAAACAGCACACGCACAGGCTCATCAGCCACACAAGACAGACATGAAATCTCCATTTACTTGGAGCTAATAGCTTAAGAAGCATTCATTTCAACTAGAAAATTCACCACTGTACATTAAGAGATTCCAAATGTGTTCATGACTCATTATCAAATATTCTTAGGCTGTTCCGATTACCCTGAAACATAAAAAATGTTACTAAGAATATATGCTCATTTAGAACATATTCATAGCTTTAAGCTCTTTAGGACATACCCCTGCGTGCCAGAAAATTCCCTTCCCATACTACCTCTTCTGGGTAAAAAGTAATTTTAGGAAATAAACTTCACACTCCCTAAAGACTTGAGGTTGCTTTTGCCGTGGATTTTTTACTACTAATTAAAAATAAACTAAATAAGGTCAAACAAACAGGAAAAACCTCTCATCAGGAGATTTGGAAGCCTTCAGTTACAGTTCAGATTTAAAGACATTGTAGTCATGGTTTCAGATAATTAAAATTTATGGTCAATTGTCTGCTATAGTCTCAGAAACATCTGTAATGATGTTTGTGTACATATGGATGCATAAATAATTAAAACCAGGTTATTCGTAGCTCTGAAATCAAGTATATTGCTACTTTACAGCACTGACATTAACTGTGAAACAAGTGTGTTTGCAATGTATTTAAAACCAACCAGTATCACACCTTCCCAGTCCCGCGAGCTCCGTCTGACTCCTCAGGCTGGATATTACATCCCAAGACTAAGCACTAAGAGGAGCGAACCAAGAAGGACCTGCCATGACATGAAAGCAGCACCACCCAGAAGGAAGTCTCTAGAGCTTGAGAAATAAATGTAGCAAGACAGGGCCAGCACCGAGGGACCGAGCAAAACCACAGCACAGCTACGCAGCCAGCACCGGCAACAATCTGACTTCTGTTCGAGAACTACAGCCTCCTGTTTTATATGTGTGCAGCAGCAAATATTTACAATGTCCTTGAAATAGTCTGAGTAAATTGTCTCTTGGCAGTAGTGAGTAAAAATGCCTAGAGATGGAGAGAAATAAATTAAATCTCAATCACACATTAACGTTGCTTCCACTGAAGATGCTGCCATGCAATCGGATTTGGTACCAGGCAGGCTGCAGGGAGCACGGCTCTCTGGGGCTGGGGGCTAGCCCTCGTTAGAAAAGCGTGCGAGGCAGCTCCTCTCATTAACGTCCCCTGGGCCGCGGCGGGTGGCAGCACGGGATTGACTCCAAATGTGATCTGAAGCGGCCGAGGCTTTCCCGGCAGTGCCTGCGGCAGCGTGAAATGAGCCGGGGTGGTGACTGCAGCACCCGCTGCCTTGGTGCTGCTGTCGGCCCTAGCAGCAAAGGGAACACTGTCGAGGTGCTCAGCCCAAATGTACCCCGGCCAATAGAGACATGCAAAACCAGGAGAGGCCAAGAGGAAGTGGGTATATCCATATATATCCATGCATCTAGAAAGACAACACAGTATCAAGAGAGGAGAGATGTGAATCATAAACCTGAGGATTATGCACCTTTCTGTGATTTACATTGGACACTGACTCACAGTATTTTGAGGGGGGTCAGGGAGGCAGGAAAACGAAGCCTCCACTCCATATCCCTGGTTGCAATTCCTGCCCGCACTGTTTGGTGAGGCTCCAGCCTACCGTAAAGGAGCCATGCGTTATCCCGGAGACAGCTGCAATCGGCGGTGGATGACATGGCTTCCCTATCTATAATCTGAGCAAGCTTGAAAAGCACCTTGAGTTCCTGCGCAATGAAAAGCTCCCCAGAAATGAGACTGATTATTGATATAAATCATCATCAGAACACTGGCCAAAGGAATAAGCACAAAAGTAATTGTCAAATTATTTCAGTACTGGTTATACATAGCTCCCATCCTCTCTGCTGGCTTCACTCTGCAGGACAAATGACCCAGGACTTCTTTAGGTCTGCCTTTATTTCACAGAAGGAAGGCATGCTACTAGTGATTATTTCTATCTAATTGTTATTGATCTTTTATTGCTTTGCACCGGTAACCTTTACTGGCAAAGCTGTAATGGGAATCTGGATCACTTATTGCCACATCTTTCTAAATGGGACATTGCTCAGCACTTCCGTGACTATATAGGAAGGTCAAGGCGCATTCGGTTCCCTCTCGAGAACAGAAGAGGAGCAAAATCCGTTCATCAAAGCACAAGGAGTATCTTCAGTATTTGCTGACTTAGGCTGAATGTGTTTTCTATTAGGACAAAACAAAAAGACAGGGTCCAAAAAATACATTCTGAAGAAGGAATTAAGAGACTGTAAAATAAGACTTTAAAAGATGAACCCTCTCTGCTTTGAACGTAAACAGCTTCAGATATGTTTGCAAGCAGCAAACATCTACCACGAAGAGAGCCTTTTCTGTGCAAGTCTCCAGGAATTCTTCCTTCAAATCCCTTTTTGACTGAGTTCTTGTTAGGCTTATAGGTGAAAAAGGAATCTAGAATATAGGGGGGGTTCCCTTTAAAGAAGGACCTTTATTTGCTCTCTCTCTATATATATTTATACTTACATAACATTTTATTTATCTGATGCTAATGAATTCTACCAGTTGCAACACTTCTGGCACAGAGCGCTGTACCAAGCAGGCAAACTGAGCCTGAGCAAGTAGTGCTCTGTACTCCACGTATGCACCCAGGGGAACAAACAAGCAAGGACCATTAACCTGCCGGCGTTCAGATTAGTGCTGAAACCCTGTCCTCTGCTTTTGGTAAGCATTACAGAGGTGAACATGACCTCTGCTGCAATCACACGGAGCGTTTAGGAGCTGTGGGTATATAATACACTTGCTGAAATTAATCAAGAGAACGCGGCAGTGGGGTAGCACTGCCTAACTGGATCCTGTCGGTCTTCATCAGGCTGGAGAGGAGCTCCTTAAAAGTGCAGCAAACAGGTCACAGAATGTCAACCCTGAATAACCAATGCTTTATCATGGGCATAAATACTCCTGGAAATAAGCGCTGTACACTTGCAGCTGCCCGGCCCTGTTTGTGACGGCAGGCTCCAGCCAGCACAGCCAAGCAGACGACCGGCGCTCGGCAGTCCGTCCCCGTCCCCTCAAACACCCAGGGAAAGACAGACGGGCTCAGACTAACCGGCAGCTGTTGTCTCCAGCAGCGTGGAACGACGTCTCGGCTCTCCGCAGGCCCAAGCGGGAGAAGGCATGGTACATGGTGAGGGCGACGTCGCTGAGGGTGTGCACGCCATCAGGCTCATCGTACACGTTCTCCCAGTACGACCGGAGGCCGGGTGTGCCAGACGGGTAGTTGCCGTACAAGTAGTAGTCCAACTGGCCAATTATCTCTTGATTCACTACGGCTTCAAATTTGCGGGCAAAGAAAGTTGGCCTGGCAGTCTGCTGTGGTGATACGAAAGGAAAAAACACTGGAGTGAGTTCCCGTTTTCAGCCGTGACACTTTGTCCTAAGCAATGGGTTGGAGTTGAGGACATCAACTGGTTCTCCCCAGGGGCAAAGGTGACTTAAAAGGTCACCTTTGTGACCATTGATCATTAAGACTGTCATTAAGATTCAGGTAAAACCAACATAATTACTCAACGAAAATGTGTCAATCCCTCCGTGTCACCAGCCACCCCTCCCTGCCTTGCTCTGGAAGGGTCTCCAAGTGCCGATGGGGTGGGGAACGCTCTCCAAACCACCGCGTCAGCCTGGAGTCGGCACAGTGCTGGCATGTGCTGTTGGTGGCCAGGCTGGGAGCAAAGCGTCCCTGGCACAGGGCTCAGAAGAGGCAGAGCAGCATTTTGCGTGTACGGATTTGCTTCTGCGAGGTGGTAAGAGGACTCTGGGAGAGGTGCCATCTGTGGCTGAGGTTTCTCAGCCTCTGACCAGTGCCGTACAGATTTTTTTGCTCTCCACTTGACACAATCTTGGGTATGTTACCGGTCTGTATGCTACTTGACTACCATTACCTTTTAAGAAGCCTTTGTTTTGCCTTGCTCATATTTGAGCATGGGTTATGAGGTGCCGAGGAGTTCAAAAGTGCCCCAGATGGTTGAAAAATTCTTTTGAGGATGCTCAGTTTTACTCTGAGTCGGCGCATGCTGGGGGCTCTCTGATCTCCTCCGCTGCAGCTTGCTTTGTGCCTCTGTGGGAACCGCGAGCAAGCCTTCTGGTGCCGCGTGTTCGTCCGAGGGGCTCTCTCATCAGCAAGTCTCAGAAGCTGCCTTTACATCTATTCTAATTTCGAACTTTCCCTTGCAGCTCAGTTTACCTGATTGTTTTCTGAAATGTTGTTGTGGGTTCTTTTCCCAGCCAGGAAAAGGAGCAGGTCAGCCTCTGCAGACTGACAGGAGTTTTCTAAGACTTGCCATTTATTCTGTGCTGGAGACTTTCCTGGGATTAGTGTTTGGGGCAGCAGAGCCTCTCTTAGATAATGTCTCATTTGCTCTTTTTGTGAGTGCCCGTGTCACTGGCTCCAGCCATGCCTGGTAGGCAGCACACCACAATAAAGAAAAGATCTCTGTTTTGGAGCAGTCATCATTTTTGTGCTGTAGGGTAACACATTCCCCATCCCACACAAAGCCTGAACAAACATGCTTTATGCAGGGAACCCCGAGGAGCTACAGGGATGGAATTGCAAATCTGGTGACCTTGAAACAAGCGGTTGTTCATTCTTAATAGAAGATACACAGGCCAGATACAGTCTTGAGACCGAGTGCACCCTTGAGCACAAGGATTTGCTCTCATGTCTGCCTTGGGGAAACTGTATCACAAAGAAACTGATTAAAATTTTTAAGGCAGTCCTGCCAAGCCCGGATGAGCGAAACCTCACGACTCTGGCCCCCAAAATCACAAGATAAACTTAATTATATTTAAGTTCATGTTGATGAATATAATCACAAAAACTGATTTGCCTTGAGCTACGTAAGCCTCTAGCAGGCACTCTAGTCAACTTTTAAGCTTTTTTCAAAGACGGAAAACACTGCTTAACAATGAGACCCAGGAGCTTCATGAAATCATGAGAGCACCTGAGCTGGAACTTTGGAAAAAGCCCTTTGCAATAAATTCACAAGAGCTACCAGGGAATATTGGTACAGCGTCAAGCTTCCCTCCTTTCTAGCACAGCAAATCTACCAATGCCAAGTAGTCCAGAGAGCTGCTTTGTGACCTTACCATGCAGCAGTAAAGCTCAAGGGCCAAAATGCAGGAAAATCAATCCTTTATTCTCCTGAAATTAAGAGCAGAGCTTCCTCACACCTCCTTCTCCACCGTGCTAGATGGGGTAAAACCTTCCCTTCCCACTTGCTGCTGCAGCCAGGCAGCTCGCCCCACCCCAGCAGACGGGGAAGAGCTGCTTTGTGGGTACCAGGGAACGGACCGCTTCGGTTACCTGGAATCGGTGGAAGTCTGCTGGTTTGAAGTCATTAGGCGAACAGCCACACCAGTCAACAATGTGCTTGTACTGACACTTGCAGCCGAGTTTACGGTTCCAGTTTGTGATGCGCAAGTTGTTGTCCACCATGGAGTCACAGTACGGGCTATTTTCCAGAACAGTGTGAAAGAAGGACTGCAAGAAAGACAGAGCAGATCAGTGCATTCATTGAGGTTCACAGACTTCCATTTTCTCCTTCACTTCAGCCTGAACCTAATGCAGGTGACTTATTTTCTTTCGAAATGATAGAATTAACAAGCTCTATTGTTCTGCCATGTACGAAAAGTTCTCTACACGTATGCATTCCGTGGAGCATGAGAAAATCCCAACACGCTATAGTCCCAGCCAAACTGTAATAACATACAGTTGAGGCCTTGCCAAAATACCCTGGCACAGAATAATTGCACTTCTGCAATGACCAGCTTTGGGCTCTGGGAGTCCAAAGGACTCCAGGAAAGGCACCAGTGGCAGCAATTATTTTATTTTTTATTTCATCTGTATGAGCAAGTCTAAGAAATTCCCATTATTTCTCTTCTGTAAAATACTTTCTGGCCTAACAGATTTAGGACTGTTTTCCTGAGCGATGTGTTAATGATATATCTCAAGTTGTTTCCTAAGACAATTCTCAAACCTTCACCATCACCCCAGTTACTATGAAAAACACCCAGTCTCAGACAGCTCCTCTGTGGGCGTCTCTCTCTCCAGCACTCCGAAATGCACGGCTATTTGAATGGCCTTGCTCTGAAATGCACAGTTCACCCCAGGCACCAGAAGGACATTCTGCCTCCTGCAATTATGTCTGAAATCATAAGTCTTTATTTGCTGACTCAAGGCAGCACGGAATTCCTATTGGGCTGTCCTAATTATATCATCATAATATCAGCTATTACATAAATCATGTGTAATGGGGACTGATATAGCAGGTTAACAGGTCAGTGAAGGCGAGGCGATTTTAAGAAACCAGCTATGTATCTTGCAAAGAAAACTTTGTAGAAAGCGGCTATGGAATATGATCAAATTTAGCCCGGTAAGAGATGATTTTTGGAGCAGTGACTTCTCTTCAAAATCAGCAATAGTAAGACCTATAAATAACCAGCATAACATTAGCATGGCTGGCCCCCAAATAATCCCCCTACCCTTTTTAATGTTAAATGACAGCCCAGTGAATATGGATTTTATGCTTGAACTGTTTGGTTAAACCCATAAAGGCATCCATTTTCATTCAAGCGAGAGGGAAAAAAAACCCTACCCAATTACCCATTGCCCTGTGTCCTTTTATAATGATACAGAAATTTCTCCTAGATAATGGATGAAAAGGTTATCAGAGTTGATCGAAAAGGTGATTTTTAACAGAAATGGGATTAAAGCAAGATTATTCAACATGTGTGTGGACTAATAAACCCCTATCAAAAGATGACAAGCGCTGTGCTCCACCGCAAGCTAATAAGCCTAGATTTGCAAGATCGGTCTCCTCAATCCCTCAAAATATTCAGGGGCCGCTAGCGAGGAAGGAAGTTATCGTTTTAAAGACAGCCATCAGGTCTTCCTTGGGATGGCTGCAAGCTCCGTGCCCTGGGAGCAGAGCCTGGGAAACAGGGGAGCCACGTACCTGCTGAGGCAGGTGTAGCACAGCCGGACAACCCGCCTGGCTCCGTGCTCTACTTGTAGGTAACGCACACCTCCCTGACACACCACCGCACGCGAGACAGAAACCCATCCCGGTCTGCCCTCCCCTTCTGCATCACTTGCAGCCAGAGCGATTCCTGAGTGATCTAAATGATTTGTGACTATGCCTTCTAGCTGAGTTTTGAACGGAACAATAAACCTTTGTTTGTAGGGGGTTTATTTTTAAAGAAAAGGGCTGGATAATAGTGAGGAAAGCTACTTATGGAGACAATTCACCATCTCTAATAGCCTTCAAAAGCTTTGTGGACGAACAATTTGCAAGCAAAGGGCAGCTGGATTTTCGGTTGTTCAGTAATAAATTAATAGGCTTAGAAGTATAAAACAAAGCCATTCCTTGCAAAAAAGTCCCCCAAACAAACAAAGCAGCTAAACAACTGCAAAAGTTGTTCTAACGCTAAAGGTCTTGCTCGTCATGGGAGTAAAATTCTCATTACCCACTGTGGGATGGTCCAAAGCCCACCGGAATCGGGCGAAAGCCCCTCTGACTTCGGTGATCTTTGGGACAAGCACAAACATTCCAGTTCTGAACACAGAGAGGGACTGCTTTGAATTCACATACCTCAGCCGGAAGCAACGTGTAAGAGTAAAACCTCTTCATCTTTGTCACCAGATCGTCATTAGAAAAAGTGACATACTCCACGAACTTCCTGTTCAGGAGAAACCAGTCCGACCCTCCATCGACTGCGATTCCTTCTGGGATCCTGCGGTCCCCGAGGCGCCACATATGGGTATCGCATTCCAGGAACAGCCGATCCAGTCCCTGCTTTCTGATGAATCTGAGGGAACACAAAAGCAGGCATTGAAAGTTAATTTGTATTTTGTTATCATCGCTAGCTCTATACATAAAGACGTTATTTTCTCAAACAAAAAAGGATAAAAAGGTCACTTGTTTATATTTCTGTTCTACTCATAAATAGAGAGGTTTAATAAATGATTAATCTGTTATACGTTCAGTTACAGGGGCAAGGATCAACAGATTGCTTTTAAACATCATTTACACCTTCTGCTGTCCTAAGACAGAACTCTGCAAGTTACAGAGCTGTGTGGCGTGAAAATCCACATTTAATTCTTGTCAAACCACTGCAGAAGAACCATAACATGAACAGGAACTAAACACAACCTCTGTGATAGGCTTCTGTCTCGAAATAAATGCACAGGTTTTGAAAAACAGCACACCGAACATAAAGGTAAAATGACCAATTTTCTCCTATGTTATTATTCCACGAATTTTTCTATTGGGGTATAGTTAATTAGGAGGAAGTACAATTGCATTGCTCTTTGCAGTAGAATGAGTATGTTTGCTCCGTTTTCAAGTCTATGGGGAACAATGTTTTGTTATTGCTGAACCATGAATAAGAGGAGCAACCGCAGAACTGTAAAGTTATGGAAACGAATTATTTCAGACCAATACAAGAAGAAGAAAAGAGTTAGAAAATCAATCTGTGTTTAAAACCACTTTGGACTGGATGCCCACACATGTTTTGAGACTGTCTGATCCAGGTTTCTATTTGTTATTCCATTTTCAGAATTATTTCCCAGAAAGAGAAGCAGGGCAGCCATGAATTAGCACACGCCTTCGCAAGGGGGGCCGAGCGCTGTTAGTGCGGTGAGTTGCTGTGCTGAATACATCCCACATGTTCTGAGCAACGATAAATGCTGGCTAGCCAGACGCTATAGTAACTACCAGCACAAGAGCAGGGATCTCACCGATGTAAGAACTCCAGGCTAACAAGAGCTGCAGCACCTACAGCGAGGAGGACGCCGTAAAACCTCCGTTTCCTTCGTGAGCAACATCGAGCTACGCCAGGGTTCTTAGAAATGTTTTAGGATGAGGAAGTCAAGAAGACATTTTAGTGGTCCTCAAACACATGCAGCCAAAGGATGGGGAAAAGAAATAAAAGTTAAGGAAGAACACCAAAGCTTTCCGGACCTCCGCATCTGGAAACGTGTTAACCCCATAGGCTATCTCCCTGGTTCAAGTTTTGCTCTATACCAATCAAAGAACTGAGACGTAATTATGAAATGGTGCATATTAATTTTCAAAAGGACTGTAAATGACTTCAGGGTCTATGTCCTACTGATAGCTATGTCTCTTCTCACAGTATGAGGAGGAGAGCTCCTCTGTTAACACAACAGTGCAGAAAATGTGTAGATGAGAGTGGGGAAGATTTTCTTTCCATGAACAAGTTTCTAATTTCATGTTCCATTATGAAGGATAATAGAAAAGTCTTGCAATTTTAATGCAGTGCTCTGGAATGTAATCTTCAAATTCAATATTTATGCAGTTATCTCCAAATCAAATATTAATGTGCCTTAAAGTTTGGTCATTTATTTATTTCCCTCAAAACAAAATGCTCATTTGAGTTAATTATTTTAAGAAAATAATAGAATTTTATCGACCATATTTAAGTAGGAATGTAAAGTTCTTCTCCATGAAATCATTTCTTTCAACTGCTATCTCTACCAATTTATCACTCTTTATTCTCGTTTTCAAACAGAAGTTTCTTTCACTGCAATAGAAACCCAAAACAAAAAAAAAAAAACAAGAAACACCTGAGGACTTCAAAAGCCCCTCTACTTACAAACTCCCTCAGCCCACATTACATGATAGGGTTACAGTTTACTACTACCAGAAAGCTCAGTTGTACAACTTCAGCCTTATTGTCTGAAATCAGCAGTAGAAGAGCACGGCCACACTCAGGGTGAGCAGGTCCCACCGAATCCAGGCTCACAGCTTCACGTTTTCCAAAACAGTTGTCAGGCTCCTTTTTTGTGTATGTACACAGTTCCAGGACTCTTCTGAGCTAACAGCTTGGACAAGCAAATCTGGGCATATGGAACACAATAGGACAATTCTCGGGAGCACGGGTGTTTTCGCAACAAAACTCAGTCCTAGAACCCTACATCCCAAGGATATCAGCAGAAAACTAAACGTACGTCCCAACCACTCCTCCTCCAGCACGGCAGCGCAGCCCAGCTGAGGAGCAGCAATGCCTTCGGAGCGTTTGCGAAGAGACGACCCTTTTGCTAATGCTCCTTGAAACCTCCCTAGAGACATCACACCAGGTTTTAAACACCAGCAACACCCAGGCAGGCAGCAGGCCCTTGTCTGAAGGCTCACCCTTACTGGGCCTGCTTCACACGCAGTCCCCACACCTAAACCAAATAACGCACCAGCATAACAAATTCCTTTCACCTATGAAGCAGTAATTTATACAAAGGGCTTTGAAGACACAGCTCTGCGTCACAGAATCACAGAATATCCTGAGTTGGAAGGGACCCATGAGGATCATTGAGTCCAACTCCTGGCTCCACACAGGCCCAGCCGAATCACAGCATATGACTGACAGCGTTGTCCAGACGCTTCTTGAACTCCATCAAGCTCGGTGCTGTGGCCACTTCCCTGGGGAGCCTGTTCCAGTGCCTGACCACCCTCTCGGTGAAGAACCTTTTCCCGATATCCAACCTAAACCTCCCCCGTTGCAGAGTCGTGCCGTTCCCTCGGGTTCTATCACCGGTCACCAGAGGGAGGAGATCAGCGCCTGCCCCCTCGCTCCCCCTCGTGAGGAAGCTGTAGGCCGCGATGAGGTCTCCCCTCGGGCAATTGCTTGCTATCCCCTCGGGCAAGCGTCGGGCAATTGCTTGCTATCCGTTTATGTTCCTTGGGAGCCAAGGGGACCGAGAATACATGAGATGTGCTGGAAGCTGAGCGACCCCGGCGGAGGCGGCAGCGGGTCACTGTGGCCAGCTCAGGCTGTGCTGCTGGCACACGGAGCAGCCCAAGAGGGAAGGGTGGCCGAGGCTTTTGTTCCCCTCCAGGGTCTCTTCTAGGATGGCTGAGCCTCCAGCTACTCCAGCAACAGCGGTTTTGCCACTCCGGGAGGCCAGAGCTTACTCTAAGCACGCTGGATCTTGCCTGAGGGAAAGGGCAAGGTGCTGTTTGTGCCCCATATTCAAGAAATCAAAAGCCCTCAGATGCTACCAGCAGTTCGTAAAGACTCTTAGCGAGCCATCCAACAATGCCTGCAGCAGCCATCTCTGAAAAGATGACGGTGAGCAAAGGCATGAACCTATGATTTGTTTCTACTCTAGTACTGTATTTCATTAGTTTCTGGGTTTGCTCGATGTCATACCAAAACAGTGCATTTTGTGAAGGCATGCCAAGATTTTGCATGAAATGCAAAAAATGCTGATTTTTCCCTCAAGTCTGTCTCTCTTGGGTTTTACAGGACACCTAGCAGATAACTCCCAAATTAAAGTAGAAAAAAATGGATTACTAATAGCATTTCATTAATCTTAGTCACTGTGGAAAAATTCAGGTGCTCCCTGGCACCCTGAGCTTCAGGTGAGACCAGCACACCTCAGGCAGCTCCAAGCATTTGGCCAGGACGATGACGCACAACCACGCCAAGGTAAGGATAGCCAAATACAAGGAGATCACCATCACATGAAAACACTTGGCCTTTCTCCTGATCCAAGACAAACAACGGGAGGAAAACACGATGACGAAATGGAGAGGTGCCGTTTGTGCCCCGACCGTGCCTGCATGCAGCCTCGGGGTTTGCACAGTTCCGGATGGTTATTTTTATACTTTGTTAAAAACCCCCACCGCTTGCAGCACGAGGCCTGTCACACCACGTATAGATAGTTAACTGTCCAGGCAGCTCACGGTTGCAATCCAGCCTCGGGAACTCCTCTTACTTTGTGGTGTATTTAAATATTTATAAATGCATTTCAGATGAGACTCTAGGACTGCATAACACATAAAGCATTTGTAAGATGTTTAGCACACGCTCCTACAACATGAATATAAACACGTAGCTCAGCTCTTCTTATGATATGTCTTAACTACTAATGAATATTGTTGCACAGTTACTTAATGTCAGCAAAAACCATCGCAATCCAACATCAGCCTTTGGGTCGCTGTCTGCGGGTGACGCTGCGCAGCGTCTCTGAGACCCCCGCTCCTGAACCTCGTGCAGCACGTTAAACACAGAGCTCGCTGTTTTGTCTTTCCCACAGTCTATGAATGAATAAAACTTTCTTAAGCATCAGAGGCTATCAGATTGCCAAAAGTTACTTTTCGGTAAGGTTTTTGTCTGGAAAGAATGTATTTTTTAAAGTAAAAAGGTTTCTTCCTGTTTCTGGCCCCTTGCCTAGAAAAGCTCGTATTGACATTTCGCTGCTAACCAGCGTCCCTATCAGGACCTCATCGTCATTACTCACTATACAAGAATAACAACTATGAATAAAACTTAATAATACATCCGCAAAACAATTCATCACGAGACAAAAGTCAATGTCGAAGCAAGGATCTGCAGAGCTTGGAGCTCCACTAGCACCACGTCCGTGTTGTCCTTAATGTTTGCGGGCAAACTGCGCATTGCTTTGACTCTACCTGCTCCTAACTCTCTTTAGACAAAAACTTGAAGAAGTCAGCCAATTTTGGTGGGAAAAGTCAAGTAAATATTTTTATGGATGAGAAATACGAGAGGCTCTTGCCAGCAGTGTTTGCACAGCCACCTTGGAAACACTTACCGGAGTCAATCAGTCGGGAAGCATAAAACAATAACTTGCAATTTAGGTGACCAAGTAGAAAGCACAGAACAGTAATTTGACAATCTTGAGTGTAACAGTTGCAACAAGTAATTTGTGAGCAATCTCTAGGCTACAATATATCCCCATAAACCAGTCACTGAATAATTCTTCGTAATAAGCAAGTCCATAAAACCCAAACCTGCACGGAGCAGTCTCGTTCCCTGCTGCTACCGGCCAG